TGTTGGCTAATGTAATCTCGGTGTATTCTATTCAATGTATTCTCCAGAAATAAATAAAGTTTGAATGAATGAATGAGTCAATACAGTGTAAAGCAAAGAAAGTCCATTTACCAATCCCTAACTTTCAAACACAAAGTGCACTAAGATGGTCGAGATGTGCAGCTAAATCAATATAAAAGTCAATTGTATGACAGAGAATAAATAAATCACAGTCTGTTCTGTGTGATATCTTCAACATCAGACCTTCAGCTGAAACAAACACATAGAAAAAACTCCACTTTAGTCCATAAAGTAGTTAGTGAAAAGGGTTTATAAAACTAATGTGTGCCCTTTAACACTTATCTTCACCTTTACTTCTTCAAAGCATCACAATCGCAACCTCTCTGCGCCCTAAACACAGACAAAAGTAAATTAAATCATGAATAAAGTGATCCAATAACCTTTGAGCCGTTTATCTAAAAGGTAAAAACAGACCTGACGCAGCTTCAGATCAAGCAAAGCCTCTTTCCAAATGAGCCTCTCCAGCTGGAGCACACTTTATAAATGTTATTTAATCTGTCGGTAACGTTATTTTGCAGCCCGGGTCTCTTTTATATTAGTTACTGACGATACAACCCCCACCTCACCAATGTGTCTCTGCCCTTAGCACACAGTAGCTTGCAGGCTAACTCACCGACAACACCGAGGGCAGGCTGCTTCTCGGCGAACTATGTCGCCTCCATTGATAAATATCCAAGCTGACACCTTAAAATGAAGACAAAAGTTGTCATTGTGTCTGTATTAGCGGGTTTTTTTAGCGTTGTAACCGGACTCGGCGTCTGTCTGCGCTGCTGTCTGCGCATGTTAATGTTACACTTCGGAACCAAAGTACGGCGACGACGTGACCCGCATTTACTTGTGTCCCGGTGCACTAAAAATAAGCTTTGGTTGTCGTTTTACCTGGCTATGGGTCCAGTGCCAAGGAACTCCCCAATGAGCTTATCGGAGCTTTCTGGTCGGCACCACAACATCCTGCTTTCATTGCGGAACTCCCGCCTTTGTATGCGTGTTTCCGGACGGACCCACGTCGGAGCGCACCGGGGTGCTCACTGTTTACAGTCCGGGTTCAGAAGTGACAGGAATAATCCAACAGGTAGAAGAAAGGTGATCTCTCTAAAGAAAAGGCAACATCATGCAGTTAGTCGTGTGTTTAGACATAAAGAAGCCTTTAATAGGTTGTTTTAGAAAGAGATTTAAATAATATTCATTAATTTTAGCTGATACTCACCAGTTAATACCAAATATATACCAGAATATGGCAGACTTTGTGGTGTTGATGAAGATGAAAAGCTCTAGTGTGGGTCAAAACATATGGTAAATATGTATTTATTTATATATATATTGTACTTGTTTTCATATTATATTGTTATAATGTAATTTATCAATGTATCTGTTATTTACTGTCATTATTGCCTTGCGTATTTTGTTTGTATTGGAAATTGTAACATACAGAGTTGTTCTAAATAAAGTACTTTTTTTTTTTTAAATCTACAGATACAACACTCTCAAGTGAACAGATAACCACACTGTGCAGTTATATTTATCTTAGCTATCTTATATTTATCTTAGTTATCTGTCTTTTATACAAAAGGTTTCCACATATGCAACTACACTGTGCAATATATATTATCTTACTGGTCTTTTATACAAAAGTTTTTTCTCTCTCTTTAACATTTGCATATCTATTTTTAGAC